TTTTTTTCAAAGAACTGGTGCAGACACGATGGGCTGAATGGCCGCCTTCTGTGCTGTATACTTCTATGATCCTATGAGTTTTGGGGCGTAGTGGCTGAATACAGGCGGCGGAGTTTTTCTCTCTGAAACACACACAAACACATTCGCACACAGTAACTTACATACTCAGACACACACTGAAACACACACAGACGCAGCAACAACAAAATTACAGTCGCATAGCGCCTTTAATGTCGGGAGTATGTCTCAAGGCGCTGGCCAGACGGAGTAACGGACCCGAGCTGGGGGTCAGAGTGGGGAGTGGGGAGGTCAGGACGGGAAACAGTGTGATCGACTGTGGAGGACTTTGAAGGTGAGGCGCGGGATCCTGAACTGTATCCTCTGTGTGAGCCAGTGGAGTTGAGGAAGGATGGGTGGGGGGGGGGGGGGGGGGGTGATAGGGTCGAGGAGCCTAGTGCGGGGCTGTAGGAGTGCTGGAGCTACCATCCTTCATATCGAGTACTATCCAACTAGTCCCATTCCACCGCTCTTACTGCATAGCCCTGCAAAATTTCCTTTTCAACGACAACAACTTGCACTTACGTAGTAACCCTCATACGGGGTAGTGTCCCAGAGTGCTTGACACTGGCGGAGCCAGTTGCAAGTTCATATCCAATTCCCTTTTGAAAGCTAGTCCCATCACCCTTTGAGGCATTGCATTCCAGATTGTAACGACACTCTCGATAAAACAAATCTCTTTGCTTCCCCTCTGATTCTATTTGCCAATTATCTTCAATCTTTGTCCACTGGCTATCAACCCACCTACTGGAGGAAACTGTTTTTTTTACCAAATTTACTCGGATCAAACCCTCATAATTTGGAACAATTCTATCGAATATCCCCTGCATTATCTCTGATGCAAGGAGAAAAATCCATATCTCTCTAATCTCTCCACGTATTGAAGTCCCACATCACTGAAATAATTCTAGTAAATAGCCTTTGCGCCATTTGAAGGCCCTGGCAGACTTGTGTGGTTAAACCGAGACCCTGTTCAGGTGGACATTAAACATTTCTTGTCCGCTGTTGGGAAAGAGAAGTTCTTATTAAAAATCAGCCTTTGTGGGGCGGTCAGTTATTCACAGAGGCTCAGGAGAGGTGAAAGGAAAGCAATCAATGTCCTTCAGCAGAAGAGGCAAAGTCCGAAGCAATGCTAACATGACCAGATAACCCATAGGTCTGCACAAAAATGATAACCGCAGGATATTCAGGGCCTGTGATTGCTAAACGCGTCTCCTGCTAATTGACATCCAACATGTGGTGAGTTAACTGTATATAATAATAACAATCCTTGCATTTCGTATAGTACATTATTGCATTGTCGCGACGTTTCAAACCGCATCATGTAATATACTGTGTAAAGGGCAGTGTTTTTAGGTGTGACATGCAGTGGGGTGGGGGGGGGGGGGGGTTGTCAGCCAGGAAACAAGGAGAGAGAAACTCCCTTCTCTTTTCGAATAATGCTGAACTGAACTGGCCCCAAACCAACGTGTTTGGCAGTGGGACGCTGGAATCGGGCCAGTCCTCTGACGTTCTCCAGCCCGGTTCCTGAGCCTGGCCGGTCCGTAGTACGCAACAGCATTCCAGCGATAATGAGCGTGAAAGCTTGTAATGAAAGCAAAAATGCTGTTTTATCTTGTTTTAAATTTTTGGGGGGGTTTTAGCTTCACTTCAGCAGTTACCCCAATGCACGACTCAAGTCCCTAAGTGTTGGCTCTTGCCAACGCACCCTAATATATTTCGGAATTAGGTAAGCAGAATGGGTCCCTCCGACTTGGATTTAGGTAGCGCTGTTCGTGCAGAGTAGCGCCCCAGATTGCTTGACAGGGTTAGAGTCTCATCCCCAGCCAGGGGAGAGGGGAGAGCTAGAAAGGAAGAGTAGGGAGGGGGATGAAGAGTGGGTGGTGGGGGTGGGGGAGGCATTGACGTAGAGAGTTCCAGAGTTTCAGGGCACAGCGGCTGAAAGCCCAACCACGGACGGTTGAGTAGAGGGCGAGAGGGAGAAACAGAGAAGGTGGAACTGGCCGAGTGCAGGGAGGCAGCGGGTTATGGAGGAGGTGGTAAGCAAATCGGTGAGAGGTGGGGAGGTGCGACGGCGTGAAGGTTTTCTTTTAAAAAACGGGTGAGAGGATCTTGAAGTTGATCCGTTCGGTTATTGGGAGGCAGTGCAGCCAAGGAAGAACTAGCGTGATGGGGGTCCGGAGTTTTGTGACCTCCCTGCTCCTCTCCGTCCCACCTCTCCCCTCTTTCACTTCCCCACCTGCCCCCTGTTTCTCTCCGTCTTCCTCTCTTTCTCTCTCTCCCCTCTCTCCTTTCCCATTTACCCCCTCCTCTCCCTTCTACCCCTCCCTTCTCTCTCTCCCACCTACTCTCAAACCCATCCTCTCTCCCTCTACCAATACACCTTTTAATTCTGCATTGTTCTGGTGTAATGGCTGAACCCATATACTACGCACCCGTTGTGGCCAGATGACATTGTAACTCAGGTTCTCCAGCGAGCAAGAGTTTTTCTCTCTTTCTCTCTCTTGCCATTAACTGTTCCTTTCTTTTAATTCCCCTTGCCGTTCTCTATTCTTTTCTTTTAATTTCTCTTGCCCTCTTTTGAGTGCGTGTGACACCAGCTCCCACACACTGTGCCGCGGTACTGGCGAGCTGATAATTTGGTAATTCTGCCCAATAAGTTTATTTTCTCCTGTTTTATCTCTGACAATTCTTGCTGCTACTTTCTCCTCACGTCCCTCCGCACAACCCGCACTGCGTACATCAACAACTGTCCGAGATCTTTACCTTAATCCGCCCCTTCATAAACTTCTTGATCGGCAATATTGATTAATGGCACAGTTACGGCATTGGAAAGGGACGATGAGCGAGAGGGTCTAAAATCAGAATCATTTCGGTTTGAGTTAAGGAGCAGAAAAGGAGCTGTTACTATGTTAGAGGTATACTATAGACTACCAAATAGTGGGAAGGAGATAGACGAGCAAATCTTCAAGCACATTTCAGAAAGATGCAAAACCAATAAAATAATGATAACGGGGCACTTCAATTATCCTTACATAGACTAACAAAATAACAATGTAAAGACCAAGGAAGGGGAAGGATTCCCGAGATGTGTGCAGGATAACTTTCACAGTATGTTTCCAGTGCAACCGGGAAGGAAGCAGTGCTGCATCTCGTTCTGGGGATTGAAGTGGGCAAGCGGAGCAGGTTTCAGCAGGAGAGCATCTGGACAACAGTAATCACAACATCAATAGGTTTGGAGAAATTATGGAAAAGGACAAGGAGCAACTAAAGGTGAAGGTACTCAACAGAAAGAGAGCTAATTTCAGTGAGTTTAAAAGTTTAAAAGCAACCCGGCCAAGCTGGACTGGAAAGAAGGATTGGCGGGTGAAACAGCTCACGAGCAATGGGAAGCCTTCAAAGAGGAGATAGTTTGGTGACAAACCAAATGCAAAGGTATTTTATTAGCATATAAAGAAAAATAAATTAGTCAAAAGTAGGGTGGGTCCAACTAGGGACCAAAGAGGAAATCTTCTTGTGGCGTACTGAATGAGGACTTTGCATTTGCCTTCACAAAAGGAGAGGATGGAGCCAATAGCACAGTATGGGAGGAGAGTGTAGAGAAATTGGATACGATAAGAATAAACAGAGAGGAGGTACCAACAAGGTTGGCGGTGCTCAAGGTAGATAATTCACCCAGTCCAGACGGGATGCTGCCTCGCTTACTGAGGGAAGTAAGGGTGGAAATAGCGGAGGCTCGGTCTACAACCTTTCAATTCTCTTTGGACACTGGAGTGGTGCCAGTGGATTGGAGGGTTACAAATGTTACTCCGCTGTACAAAAAGGGGCAGCAGGTTTACATTCGGTACTTACAGGCTAACATCAGTAGTGAGGAAACTTCTAGAGTCTCTCATCCGAGACAAAATAAATTTTCACTTAGAAAAATATGGGTTAATAAAGGAAAGCCAACATGGTTTTGTTCAAGGCAAATGATGTGTAATAAACATGGAAGAGTGTTTGGTGAAGTAACGGAGAGAGTGGATGAAAGTAGTGCAGTTGATATAGTTTATATGGATTTTCAAAAGACATTTGATAAAGTGCCACATAAGAGACTTGTAAGCAAAATAGAAGCCCCCGGTACGAAAGGGACAGCGGCAGCGGGTACAGAACTGACTGGGAGACAGATAGCAGAGAGTGGTGGTGAACAGTTGTTTTTCTGATGGGAGGGAAGTGTGCAGTGGTGTCCCCCAGAGATCAGTATTCGAACCACTGCTGTTTGTTATATATATAAATTACCTCGGCTTGCATATAGCGGAGTACAATTTCCAAGTTTCCAAGCTAGGAAAAGTAGTAAACAGTGCGGAGGATAGTAACGGACTGCAAATAGATATAGACAGACTGGTAAAATGGGCAGACACGTGGCAGATGAAGTCTGATGAGGAGAAATGCGAAGTGTTGCATATTGGGAGGAAGAATGAGGATAGAAAAGTTATGATGAACCTTTATAAACCACTGGTTAGGCCTCAGCTCGAGACTGTGTTCAGTTCTGGGCCTCACACTTTATGAAGGATGTCAAGGCTTTGGAGAGAGTGCAAAGGAGATGGACCAGGATGGTACCAGGACTGAGGTGCTTCAGTTATCACGAGAGGCGAGAGAAGCGAGGATTATTCTCCTTGAAGCGGAGGAGGTTCAGAGGAGACTCAATCGAAGTTTTCAAAATGATGAGGCAATACAATAGGATGAAACAATTTCCACTGGCGGGTGAATTGGTAAACCTGAAGACACCAATTTAAAATAGTTGTTCAAAGGAATAGAGGGGAGGTGAGAAGAATTTTTTTTACACAGCGCATTTGTTGGGATCTGGAATGCGTTGCCCGAAGGGGTGGTGGAGTTCAATTCGATAGCAACTTTTAAGGTAGAAGTAGATAATTATTTGGTGAGGACAAGTTTCCAGGGCTCTGGGGAGAGAGCGATGGAGTGGGATTGATGGAGTAGCTTCTCAGAGTGTTTCACATTGATGGAGTAGCTTCTCAGAGAGTTTCACATTGATGGAGTAGCTTCTCGGAGAGTTTCACATTGATGGAGTAGCTTCTCGGAGAGTTTCACATTGATGGAGTAGCTTCTCAGAGAGGTTCACATTGATGCGGTAGCTTCTCAGAGAGTTTCACATTGATGGAGTAGCTTCTCAGAGAGATTCACATTGATGGAGTAGCTTCTCGGAGAGTTTCACATTTATGGAGTAGCGTCTCAGAGAGTTTCACATTGATGGGGTAGCTTCTCAGAGAGTTTCACACTGATGGGGTAGCTTGTCATTGATGAAGTTGGACGTTGAGCAAGGGAGAAATGGTGATGAACAAAGCCAGCGTCCAGGGGATTGGGTTTTGAAATGAGAATTAAAAATTCCTGGAAACGGATCAAGATGGTGAACACAGACAGGGAGATCCAGAGGTGACGTGGTTTATGACTGAAGACTTTTTGATCGTACTTACAGTAACCTCAACTCCTCCATCTGCCTCATTGTCATACTCTGCCAACGTGAAGAGCTCCGGGACCCTCCCCCATATGAAAGACGCCACGTAAATGCAAGTCGGTGGTGTTGTTGTATGTGTGAATATCTCAGTAAGATCATGTGTTTTTGCATGTGTCAGACACACAGCTGTCCACAGTTTACAGTAAATCCTGTAAAGCGCATTGTAAAATGTTGTTTTCAAATTGAAAGCTTATTCTAATTGTTGTCACATTGCACACGTGGATCTGAAAATAGATGTGTGTTATTTGGGACAAGTTATGTATTGACCCGATGATATCCTCCCCAAATCCAGGTTCATTTTGTGGTTGCTTCTGACGGCTTGGGAGTCCAGATGTATCCAACTGACTGACATCTCCGGGGAAATATCTTCTCCAAATTACCCTCTGGAATATCCTGGGAACAGCACTGGAATCTGGGAGATATCGGCGCGCCCTGGATATATTCTAAAACTGTATTTGGTACACGTGGAAATCAAATGGTCAGAGAGATGTGAAAGAGAGTATATTAAGGTATAATTGTGCGGAGATTAGGGTGACTCTTTTTCAAAGGGTTTGTGCAGAACTGTGTAATTTTGGAGGAAATGTTCGCCAGTGTCGGAGGTTGGGGAGATGATCAAATGTTTGTCACACCTCCAGCCTCAAACTCTCACAACGCTCCTCGCCGAGCTCCCCAACTCCGCGATTAACAAAGTCTGAACGATTCAAAGCGCGGCCTCCCGTGTCCTCACCCATACTCGGCTCCGCAATGCCATCGCCCCAGTTTTCACCAGCCAACTCTCCCGGAGAACGGATCGGTATGAAGACTTGACTTCTGTTTTCAAGTCTCTTCTGGGATTTCCCAACGTTTCCCATCTGTTCAGACCCCCAATCCTCCACCCGCTGCCTCTCAGATGGATTGGGCCTTCTGCATGTCCCTCATCTCCCTTGACTTCACAATCAGTGGACCTGAGTTCAGCCACTATGCCCTGAATCACTGGAAATCTCTGCCTTAATCCCCCTGCCTCCCCCCCCTCTTTGCCCATCTTTTGCAGAGTCCTGTAGCTCAGTTGTTAGAGCACTCGCTTTGCAAGTGAGAGACCTGAGTTCAATTCCAGGCAGAGGGCGAAACCTTGGGCAAGTTTCCTTACTCCACACAGAGCGTAATAATAATCCCTCCAAAAACCAAAAACAATAATAAAATGGGTCATTTTCAATCTACGACTGTTTGTGGGACATTGCTGTGCGCAATTGGCTGCCTCGTTCGCCCACAAATATACAGTCAATTCACTTTACAGTGTGTTCTGTGAAGCGCTTTGGGACGTCCTCCCGACGTGAAAAGAGCTATATCAAATGCAAGGATTATTATTATTATTATTATTATTATCTTGGGATCGCACCTGAAGACGATGCCTTCACCTCCCCTTACTTTTCCAGCTCAGCATCAAACCGATCACAAAGCACCGTGAGCCGCCATCCTCTGCGTACGGCGCTGTATAGTATAAACTCTTATGCATTGGTTGAAAGTTCAGATGTTGGTTCGGAAGACGTGAGTGAGTGTGTGTCAGCGATAGAGTTAGTCACTCAGTCACTCGGAGTTAGTCAGCTGTGGGGTCGAACCCCACATTGTTGGAAGCACAGTCTTATCTAATGCTCCAGCGCTGTGCTGGGAGAGTGCCATCGTTTGGATGAGATGTTTAACTGAGGTCCCAGCTGGTTGTTGAGGTTGACGTAAAGATCCCATGGCACTATTTGAGAAGAGAAGGGAGTTTCTCTCTCCCAACAATCCCCAAAATCAAATTAACCATTTGCTGCCCTCTCAAATAATAATAATAATCATAGCGTTGGATACAGGGCCTCATCAGTTGTTGAAACATCTCAAAGCACTTCGCAGGATTCACTGCACACGGGAAGTGAGGTGACTGTATTTTCTGGGTGAAACGTGACAGCCAGTTCGCACACAACAACATCCATTAATAATAATAATAATAATAATCCTTGCATTTGATATAGCGCTTTTCACGTCGGGAGGACGTCCCAAAGCGCTTCACAGAACACACTGTAAAGTGAATTGACTGTACATTTGTGGGCGAACGCGGCAGCCAATTGCGCACAGCAATGTCCCACAAACAGTCGTAGATTGAAAATGACCAATTTAGTATTGTTTTGGTTTTGGAGGGATTATTATTAGGCTCTGTGTGGAGTAAGGAAACTTGCCCAAGGTTTCGCCCTCTGCCTGGAATTGAACTCCGGTCTCTCACTTGCCAAGCGAGTGCTCTAACCACTGAGCTACAGGACTCCACATTAAACAGTGAGGAATTTTATCGAGTAGCTTAGTGGTTAGATCGCTCGTCTCGCAAGCGAGAGAACCTCGGTTCGATTCTCAGGTAAGGTAAAAACTTAGGCAAGTTTCATATTTCTCTGTTCAACCAGCAGTAAGTAGCAACCTGGTGGTTAGCTGCTTGGCGGATTACTTTACCGGGGCTAATAATCCTTTAAATTATTTTTTTTTAAAAATCGTTACTCAATCCAAGACTGTTGGTGGGACACTGTTATCCGCAATTGGATACGCGTTCTGCGTCCCTGGTTTCCGCCCACAAAATATATAGTAAAACCACTGTATAGTATATTCTGTGAAGTGTTTTGAGAGGTCGCGAAGATATGATATATCAAATGCAAGTATTATTTTGTTATTATCCAAATTTTTAAGAAAGGGGATTGTTGGCTGGGCTTCTCTCTCCAAATACTGCCATGGGATTATTGACGTGCACCTGAACAAGCAGATGATGGGACAGATGATAATAATAACAATATTAATTCTTGCATTTGATATAGCGCTTTTCACGTCGGGAGGACGTCCCAAAGCGCTTCACAGAACACACTGTAAAAGTGAATTGACTGTATATTTGTGGGCTGAAGCGGCAGCCAATGGCGCACAGCAATGTCCCACAAACAGTCGTAGATTGAAAATGACCCATTTATTATGGTTTTTTTTGGTTTTGGAGGGATTATTATTGCACACTGAGCTGGGCTGACACAAACTGAGCTGGATTGACATTCACTGAGGCGGGCTGACACACACTAAGCTGTGCTGACATACATTGAGCTGAGATGACACACAGTGAGCCAGACTGACTCATGACTCTGGTCCCTGACTCCGGCAATGACGTACATGTTGAACTTGGAGGGGGTGGACTGGCCACTGGGAGCAGTGACTCTCCAATTGCAACTGCTGTTAACCCTGATTTTAGCTCTGGTTTTAGCCCCGTCTATTAAAAAGCAACCTTGATTATTGTATTTCTTACAGGTGGTGACAGAAGTGAAAGAACTCTTCAACGTGTGTGGCAGGACATCACACGGTGTCAGTCCGGAATTCCGGGAATACTTTTCCTCCACTAACTCAATGCAAGTTCTGTTTCAATCCGAAACTTCCAATGAGGACAGGCTGACGGGCTTCCTGGCTTTGTACTCACGCGTAGGTAAGGAATAAAGATTTTGCAATAGAAGGAAAGCCGTTGAAGAGAATAGAATAAAGAGCAGAGGGAAACGAGATTGAGAGAGGAGGTGTGAAGAAGGCATGACCGTTTCTGAAAGGAAAGCAGCAATATCAACAGTGGGAAGGTGTTTGATTTAATTAGGAGAGTGGTTATGGTTTTAGGCTTATTAGAAAAACAAGTAGGGGAGAAAGCAGAATATATTTTGCATTTGATATACGTCATCAAGATGTCTCAAAGCACTTCACATATTTTACTGTACTCTGCAGTTTACCGCACAAATACGGTTGTGTATTTTGTGAGCGAGCATGGCAGCTAAGTTGCTTAGGAGCAACGTCCAAGAAAAAAGCTATGGAGTAGCAACCACTTTAATTGGGGGATTGTCGGACAGGATTGGAGAGAGAAACTCCCTTCTCTTTTCCAATAGCGCCTCGGGACCCTGAAGAGGCACAGACAGGAATTGCTTTAATGTCTCATCTGAACAACGGTGCCTCCGAGATGCAGTCCTCCACAGCGGAGCGTCAGGTTAGACTGTGATTCTATATCCCGACTTGGGGCTTGAACCCAAAACATTCTGTCTCAGAGGTCAGAGCGCTGATACACTCGGGAAACCAGTCGGAAAGTATTGTGAAATGCTTTGAAAGCTACAGTTTCTCTCCCACTGGAAGCTCTTTTCTTTCTGAGCACATTTATTTATTTTCAGATATTAATGAGTGTGATATTGTCGCCCACAACTGCAGCCATTTTTACGGAAACAAGATTGGAAGTTTTCACTGTTACTGTTCTCTTGGCTTTGTGATTCATAGCAGTGGCCACACCTGTGAAGGTAAATTCAGTTTTCAAGCGGTGACGATATAGTTTTGCCTCTGTGCTAATAATGATAATAACAATAAAAACATAATAATCCTTGCATTTGATATAACACCTTATCTTGTCATCAAAGTGTCTTAAAGCGCTTCGCATAATGAACTGTGAAGTACAGTGATTGTGTATTTTGTGAGCGAAAGGTAGTAACCAGTTTGCACATAACAACGTGCTACAAATATCCATTAGGTGGGGCAGAAACGCTGAGGAACGGACGGGCGATGGTGGGGTGGGCAGGGAGGGGCACTTGGAGCAGGCCGGTATGCATGTTGGTTGGCTGTTTATTGCTCGCAGAGGGGGGAGCAAGACCACAAGACCCCTCTGGGGAAACCACAGAATATTGGCTCTATGGTTAACATTCCTTTGCCAAATAAATCACAGTGGAACCATTTCAACTCCGAGCAGGACCCACTTAGCCCGCGCCCCACCATCCCCCCCGGCAGCATCGCATTTGGCATCTGACAAGCGTGGGCTTAAGCCCTCACAGGGCGGAAGGTAGTTGCCTGAAATTCCCTGCGAGCTTCCTGGTGGCAACACAGCTCAGCATGAAATGTATGAGAACATTGGCACAACCTTTCCGTCTGCACATTGGACACACGATTCCTTCCCGTTGAGCAATGACGTGCAGTTTGTTCAGCCAGCGGCTACTGATGGCTCTGCAAACCAATCAAGTTGGATTCCTGGCGCTGGATGTTCAAACTTGTCTTCAAGACTCCGCGTAAACTCCAGGTAACAAAAGCTGTTGTCCCAAGACTCAGAGTTTTCTCATCAGCTTCAGCGTAGTGGGTGTACTTTCGCAGGACAGCTCATGATTTGCCAGCCACCTGGATAAGCAATGTCAGGTTTATTCTTCAAAAGCTCCTCGTATGAAGGGCCTTGGCAAATAAATGTGCCCAATGTGAAGCCAACGCCACCTCTAGGTGCTTAGCATCAGTTTTGGCTGGATCCCTTCCTTGCTGTAGCTGCTTTCCCACAAATCCACCTCACTGCTTGATCCTGGATACTCCGCTGCCTCCCCAGGATTCAGATCCATAAAGGAGAACTATTTGCACATGGGACTTATCTTCGGCAAGCTTAACCTCCTGCATTTGGACTTGTTGTCCTTAAAATAAGACCAGCCTGGCCAGAGTGCAGATCTCCTCAGCCCGGTCCTTCCAGGGAAATTTAGGACTGGTGCCCATTTGTATCTTCCAATTGATATCCTCAATGTCTTCTCTTGAGCCATGTTTACACATTTGGGGCAACAGCACCATATCCCACCACATGAACCAATGCTCACGAACGTTTGCTGTCAAGTGTGACAAGACATTGTACTTGAAGTCTTCCGTGAGCAAAAGAGCAGAGCAATTTCAAATTGTTTACGCAAAACAACCCCCAAGGGATTTCATAATAATTGTTTTTATTTCACTGCAGAAATCGGAACGTATTGTCCTGGTTATCTGGCACCACTGAATATTCTTGAGCCTCACTGGGACAAGTTTTACTTTCAGGACACAGTGAAAGTCTCATGTGTGAAAGGATATGAAATAGTCGAGGTAATTAGTTTTTGTTCTATGGGAATTAGATTCCAATTGCACTGCGATCTTAATGTCCACCTGTACAAGTGAGATCTTGGTTTAACATCTCAATTGAAGGATGGCACTGCCAACCATACTTCACGTCCCTCGTCCTGCCAGCTCCACTATAAGCAATCGGTTTTAATGCCCCATCCTCTGGAGATCCATACCAGAATCCATCTCTCTCGATCCCTCCCTTGCACCCTTCAACGCACATCTCAGGACTTTCTTCTTTGACCACGCCTTCGCACATCCTCCCACAATCACCCCCAGGCCCTCCACCTATTCCGGATGCAACCCCAACTCAGGTGCAAACTTTTGAATGTTTAGCGTCTCTGGATGTCCACCAGATGTGAAAGGTGCCGCACGTAAACACAATTTGTTTTTGTTGGAATGCAAAACGCTGCTTTGGACAAAATATTTAGGCTCTCATTTGGGAAAGGATTGGGGGAGTTTAAACAGAATTTGCAATTTTTTTCCCAGGGGTTGAAGACGCTGCCTTACTTTTTTGCGGAGTGCAACAAGAACGGGACATGGAATACTTTTGGATACAGTTGCCAGCGTAAGTGTTGTTGTTATTCATAGAGACTAATTGGGTCTAGCCGTCGCAGGGACTGAATATCTCTTTGGGAGGAGGGAATTTTTGAATGTGCAATCCCAAACTTGTCACTGGGTTTCTGTCGCCACCAGCTGTGGACTGCGCGCTGCCGCCTGGAATCGAGAATGGAGTCTTCTCGTATAGTAAAGGCCAAAATCTCACCACGTATGGCTCTTCCATTCAGTACCAGTGCAATGAGCCATATTATAAAATGGTGACCTATAAGAGCGGTGAGTACAATCTCCGTGTTTTAGAAAAAACTCCTTTCCATTCTTCATCAATTTCCTTCCCACCGCTCGGACTTGGGGAAAAATACACAGGATGAAGCTGCTCTATCTGGAGGTGGAATTGAGAGTGCAGTGGGTCAACCTGAATCTGGTGTCTGCATCCAACCAACCCGAGACAGGTGGGGAATGGGCTCAGATCCTGGATGGAGACTGGGCACGGCAATGAATCCGGGAGATGGGCCTGATGCCAAAGGCAGCACCAGATACACACTTGTTAGCCTGGTGCCGTGGTTGTACTCTCACTTCCAAGTCAAAGGGTTGTGGGTTATACCCCATGTCCGCCGGATATCTGAAGACTGCAGACACCAATCACCATGCTTCATAGTCTGAGAGTTCTGGGCATCTGACACACACCAGGACATTTGTGTATATTATTCGAAGAGGATCCGCACTCACTCCTTACAGGATCACATCATTCTGCTCTAATTTCAGAGCTTGTTCGACACATGTTGGCAAGATCCAAGGCTTGGGAGCCCATAGTGTACATTGAGGGTAACTGCTGGAGTCTAACCAGCTAAAACTGCACAGCTTGCCATTGAGAGTACTGTCTGGCAAGCTGCCCGTGGTTGATTAGAATGAAACGTCCTACTGCTTGACTCGCAGGGAGCTCAGTAGCAAGAATCCTTGCTCCAGTGAATGATGTCTTCATGTCTAATTAAGCTGTGACATTTACAGAGAACTTCAGCTGCACCGCGGAAGGAAGTTGGGAAAATCGTCATCTGGGCGCCCACGTTCCTGTCTGTATTCCAGGTAAAAGAAGCAATGAGGGCCACATCTAAAGCACGAGCAGAACACAGCAGATCAGCGTCTTACTTGCATGGTAGTCATTGATTCACAGTTGGGTCGCTAGCTTCCTCAGACCTGTAAGAATCCACAGAGGGAATGAGATTGTGGAGTTTGCCGCACGAAGCGGCGGTTGAATTAAAAAACTGTGGATCTTTTCAAGAGTGAGACCTTCACATGCGGTAGAGAGGAATCGACGGTTATAGGAGGGAGGGAGAAGGGGAGGATTGGTTGATCAGGGAGAAACCTGGAGAAAACTTGTGGAGTCCTGTAGCTCAGTGGTTAGAGCACTCGCTTTGCAAGTGAGAGACCTGAGTTCAATTCCAGGCAGAGGGCGAAACCTTGGGCAAGTTTCCTTACTCCACACACAGCCAAATAATAATCCCTCCAAAACAAAACAATAATAAAATTGGTTATTTTCAATCTACGACTGTTTGTGGGACATTGCTGTGCGCAATTGGCTGCCACGTGCGCCCACAAATATACAGTCAATTCACTTTACAGTGTGTTCTGTGAAGCGCTTTGGGACGTCCTCCCGACGTCACAGTCGTAGATTAAAAATGACCAATTTAGTTATTGTTTTTGGTTTTGGAGGGATTATTATTAGGCTCTGTGTGGAGTAAGGAACTTGCCCAAGATTTTTGGAATTGAACTCAGGTCTCTCACTTGTAAAGCGAGTGCTCCAGCCACTGAGCTACAGGACTCCACTTCTTTCCTCGTCATAGTATATCAAGTATTTTGCGATATATTGACCAGATGACAAGGTGCTCTATCAAATGCATGGATTTTTACTATTATTTTGTGTGGAAAACTGTCTTTCAGCTTCAATATCTGGGAAACACAATTTATTTTCTATCCCTGTCATGGTGATGCCTTCAATAGGAAGTGACTAGCCTGCGGGGTGCGGACGCAACCCTCCAGGGAGAGAGTGTTTCCGCTTCCAATAACTATCCAAGGATTTCCATGTGGGTGGGAATCATGGGACTGTCAGTTTGGTTTGGATGCTGTTGGGTGTGGGTAGGGTTGCCACACGTCAGACACGCAAATAAACCCCAACGTGTTGAACTGAACCCGACTCTCACTGAATTTTTAAATGTTTGTGTCTCCCTGACCCGCTGAGCAGTCTGCGGTCTGCCTGGCAATCCGCTGGTGTTCCGCTCGCGGGTGCTGCATGGCTCGCGGGCTGAGCCGGGTAACTTCCCGTGGCAGGTGCACTTTCGGATCCCCCGGGGGGCGGGGGCGCTGATCTCGGATCGCTGGGTGCTGACGGCGGCCCACGTGGTGTCTCCGAGACGTGGGATCGTGCTGTCGGCTGGACTGGTTAACCTGAAGAACCGAAAGCAAGCGGTGGCCCTGATCCCGGACCGAGTTTTCGTCCACCCGCTTTACAACAACTCGGAGGAGACCGACACCTACAATTACAACCACGACATCGCGCTGATTAGACTGAAAGCCAAACTGGTGCTGGGACCAGCCATCGCCCCCGTCTGCTTGCCCCGGAGAGACTCAGAGCACCAGGTGACCCCGGGAATCCTGGGCACTGTGTCAGGATGGGGAGTGACGGAGAACGGGACTTTAACACCGCATCTCATGTACACGCGGCTGCCCGTCTCCGACTTGGAGGAGTGTCGGAGCAACATGGAGGGCAACGGTCAGCGGGTGACTGAGAACATGATCTGTGCTGGCCTGGGGGTGGGAGGGGACTCCTGCCAAGGGGACAGCGGAGGAGCATTCGTCTTCACTCGTCCCCAGAGCAAGCAGTACTATGTCGGTGGGATCGTATCCTGGGGAATAAATTGCGGGTCGTTTGGATTCTACACTAAAGTGCTCAAGTATCTCGAGTGGATCGAAGACACAATGAAGAACAATTCTGATTGAAATCTCAACAATGATCATTAAAAACGGGTTCTTAAGGCTCATGGGATCTTGGGGTTTATAACACGGGGAAAATAAACATGGAATTATCAGGATGGTGTCGTGATGACTCTTCCTTCTGTGTGTTTTTGACACGTGGAGAGACATAATACTGATAATAATAATCCTTGCATTTGATACAGCACTTTTCACGTAGGGAGGACGTCCCAAAGCGCTGCACAGAACACACGGTAAAGTGAATTGACCGTATATTTGTGGGCGAACGCGGCAGCCAATTGCGCGCAGCAATTTCCCACAAAGATTCATGGATTGAAAATGACCAATTTATTATTGTTTTGTTTTTTTTGGAGGGATTATTATTAGGCTCTGTGTGGAGAAAGGAAACTTGCCCAAGGTTTCGCCCTCTGCCTGGAATTGAACTCGGGTCTCTCGCTTGCAAAGCGAGTGCTCTAACCACTGAGCTACAGGACTCCACATCGCAGTAGCTAAGACCCTCCTCTTCGACTGTGCCATCGGTCAACTCCCTTCCCCTCCCCTCCCTTCTTCCCCCCTTCCCGTCCGCTCCCTTCTCCCCAGCTGACCCCTCGGCTCGGGTCTGAAATGCCGTTTCAAACAGAGTGTTTGTGTAAATGTCACTTTGCATCGCTTTGCTGCGTTTCCTCTCTTTTCAAACACATCCTTTCTCACACTGACTCGATTTTGATTATCTCTCTCTCTCTCTCACTTGGCTGTTGCATTTCACCCACAAATATGCAGTCCGTTCACTTCGCAGTGTGTTCTGTGAAGCGCTTTGAGACGTCCATAAGACGTGAAAAGCGCTATATCAAATGCAAGGATTATTATTATTATTATTATTGCTAGTGAGGGGCAGGACAGTCAGGCAGGAAAGGGGTCTCCGGAGAGTGATGGAGAACCCATATGGACAAGGAAGTCTGTGACGAGGAGGATGGGCAAACTGACCCCAGTGTCTCTACAGGAGGAGGCCACACATTTGGGGATAGGGGACGCGACGGTCATGGAGACAGACACTCGTCTCTGCAGCTGCATCAGGAGTCACTGTTGCCGCGTAACAACAACAATATTAATAATCCTTGCATTTGACACAGCGCTTTTCACGTCGGGAGGAGGTCCCAAAGCGCTTCACAGAACACACCGTAAAGTGAATTGACTCTATGTTAGTGGGCGAACGCGGCAGCCAATTTATTATTGTTTTGATTTTGCGGAGGGATTATTATTAGGTGTGTGGAGTAAGGAAACTTGCCCACGGTTTCGCGCCGCCTGAAATTCAACTCAGGTCTCTCACTTGCAAAGCTCGAACCACTGAGCGACAGGACTCCACTGGCACCAGGGTGAAGGATGCCTCTTCAGGGCTGGAGAAGAGTTTGAGGCAGGAGGCAGAGGATCTTATTCAGGTGATCCACATAGGAATGAACAATGTAGGTAGCATTACGTAATGACGACTGGAGGAGTGAGTTCAATGAACTGGGAACGAAATTAAAAGGAAGAACTTCCAAGGTGGTAATCTCCGGATTACTGCATGAGCCGCACAAACCGGTACAGGGCAAACAAATGAAAGAGTTAAACTTGTGGCTGAAAGAGTGGTGCAGGAGGCAGGGGTTTCAGTTTATGGGTCACTAGCACCAGTATTGGGGGGAAAGGGAGCTGTTCCATCGAGATGGAATCCACCTTAACCGGGACCAATATCCTGGCGAAACGACGAGATAGGGAGATAAGTAGAGCTTTAACCTTTTTTTGGGGGGGGTTTAAGGGAGGGTTACAGCGACAGTTAAATGTAAACCGGCATTGCAAGGAATAGTCATGATTGTCGAGCAAAGTAGAGACTTGGGAAATAAGGAACAGCGTGTGTCGAGTAGGGACGAAAAGCTCCACAAAGGAAATAGGGCATTAATGAGTAGGGGAAACGGTAACAGGTCAAAAGTAAAGGCGCTATATCTGAATGCACAAAAAGTAGCAAGAGAGACAAATTAAGTGGACAAACAGACATAAATGGGTACGGTCTCGTGGCCATTACTGAGACGTGGTTACAAGGAAACCAAGGGTGGGAGCTAAACATTCCCGGGTATTCCTGCTTGCAAACCCTCGTTCCAGATCATCTATAAAAGTATTGAACAGAAGAAGTCCCAATTCAGATCCTTGTGGGACTTCACTTGTAACATTTTTCCAATCTGATGATATTCCCTGTACCACCAGCTTCTCGGTTTCTTCCAGTCAAAACTTTGCCTCTCCATTGCAATATACCTCCACTGATTCCTACTTTCTTCACTTTCAGTACCAGCCTCTCAAGAGGAACTGTATCAAAGCCCTTTACTGAATCCAGATATACATCCACAGCTTTACCCTTATGACCCTTATGGAGGACGTCCAAAGGCACTGGACAGACAGAGTTTCGGACCCGAGCTGAGGGTCGGGTTGGGGGAGGGGGAAAGCAGCGAGATCAAAAACATGGTCGAAGAGGACAGTCTGGAGGGGGTGAGGCAGAGGGACTGCGGGTTGGAGCTCCAGAGAGTGGGCGCAGAGTGGTGCAAGGTCCGCCCACCGATAGTGGGGCGAGCAAGGCAATAAAAATATCTAATTTTACTCCTGGAAATATCTAATATTACTCCTTTTCCCCTAATTTTGGTAAAAGCACTTGACGAGTTTGGCCGTCGCCGACCAACGCCCACCCAATCCCAACCCCCAAAGCCAGCAATGCCAAGTACTTTGGGACATTCTTTGCTGGTGAAGGTCACACATGGTAAATGCAAATTGCATCTATACTGTAATCACACCGCAGTCCTCTCACTCGTTTATTAATTGCGCTTTGAGACGTCTCGAATGTGTGATGAGGCGCTACATCAAATATAAGGATTATTATTCATATTTTTATCAGTAAAGGGCAATACTGGTGGCACCACAGAGATTTATTCTGAGCCAAGTGTTTAGCCGGAGGGAGAGGGTTATTTTGTCGCAGGTTATTTTGGACTCTCGCTTGCAAGGTGAGTGATCTAATTACTCAGCTATACGACACCACAATATTCTAATAACCAATATTCAATACACTCAATATCCCAATAACCAAACCTGCCAGAGATAATATGATTATTTTAAATACCTTAGTTAAACAACCCCTTCAATTCCTTCCCTTTAGGCAATGTAATTCCAGTCATAGTATTTTTGACTCCAAAAACACGGATGCTGCGTTATACTCTATTGAAAATTATGAAACATGTTCTAAACCTTCCGAGACATCTCAACGACGTGGAAATCTTATTCATTATTAATATTGTTAGGAGGTATTTTCAAATATAGTGATTATTTGATCCTTATGACTGCAGAAACATTTCTTCACTTATTGATTTTAATAGCAGATAACTTGAGAGGAGAGAATAATTCACGTGGGATTTGGGAGTGAATTTCATTGAGGAAAAGATTGCTTGTGAGAAAGTGTTGTACATCGAGCGTCATAGCACCATCGGCGGCCAGACCTCCAGTCTCTCTGCCCCACCCTATGAAACTCTGTTCCACAGTCCCTCTATCTTGCTCCCTCTCTTGCCTCCTCAAAGGCAAGTCTTGAAACCGCCTTTTTGACCGAGCCCTTCGGCCACCCTCCTACCCTTCCTCCCCGACCCCACCCCTCCCGATCCCAACCCCATCTCAAATCAAAATCCGCGACTGTGCGGCGCCTTGGGATGTCCTCCTGATCTTAAAGACGCTTTGCAAATGTAATTGTGCGAATGCATTGTATTCTGTCTGTCTCTTCGGCTATTTAATCAGTTTGCCAAGCAAGCGATAAGGACAGGTCAGAACCCTCTTGAGCTCCTGCCTGAATCTATTCTGGGTACCAACATAGATGCAGGTGTTGGTGGCACTGCTGCTGAGCTGAAGCATGATAGAGGATTGGTAGAGAATGTATATTGGATCATCTAAGCCTGTGTAACCGTAGTCAAAAAATAGCCCATACATCACATACACAACATACGTCATCCAGAGTAAAATGAAGCTGCCCGATATTGCGACGAGCAGGACTATGGCTTTCCTTCTGCTCTCGATCTCGGGATCATTGCGCTCTGTGGTGTTCTTGACCAGCCCTCTGCGCTTGCTGTTGGCAGCCACGATGTGCTTGACGGTCAGTACGTTGCAGAGGAGGATGAAGAGAAAGGCGACGAAGGGTGTCAGGACGATGTCCAGCCAGTGAAACGTCGTCCACTCTGGGGAGACGTAGAAACATGCGTAGCGATGACCGCAACTGCTATTCTATCCGTACAGTACCTGCCCCGCAGCTTTGGGTTGGAAATGGCGATTGAGCGATCAAAGGTGAAGGCCACGGTGAGCCAGGCAGAGCCGTCAGCGGCCACGCAGAGCAGGACCTGCCGCACTTTGCAGGCCACAGTGAGGTCCAGGAAACACACCGGGAGGAACAGGAAATTAATTCGGGTAAGAATCACATCTGTGATCACCACAGCCAGGTCAGCAACTGCCATAGCCACCAGGTAACGAGAAACGCCCCTGGAGAGACCGCACTGCCCACCGGATAGAATGACAAGTGCCAGAAAGTTACCTGGTAATGTATAACAATAATAATAATTATCGTTGGATTTGACACAGCGCCTTATCACCTTTTCAAGATGTCTCAAAGCGCTCCAAAGGACATACTGGAAAGCGAATTGACGGCGCATTTTGTGGGCGAAACGCGGCAGCCAATTGCGCGGAGCAATGTCCCGCAATGTGTGGGGATACACACATTGAGGAAGAGAGTAGGCGCGAGACAGGCAGAGTGGGCGAGAGCAGAAAAGAAGAGACAGAGAGAGATCTTGAACGAGAGATAGAGAGAAAAAAAAAGACATGGACACAGATGGATAATACAGAGAGGAGACAGAGGGACAGAGACCGAGAGAAGAGGTAGAAAGAAAAAAACAAAGATAATAATAATAATAATAATAATAATAATAATCCTTGCATTTGATAATCATGTCTTCGAGACTTCTCAAAGTGCATTACAGAATAATTTGTAAAGAGAATCGACTGTATATGGTGTGGCAAAACGCCACAACCAATTCCGCACCCAGTGCAGTCGTCGATTGACGTGTCCAGTTAA